CAGTTAAACAATATTTTGCTATATTCGCCACTGATCCATTGGGAGAACAATGCAGGAACATTTTTGTGTTCTTATCCTAAATATCTCTTGCCTTTTTCTGTGAGATTTGCTCACCAAACTGTCAACTGACAAATACCACCTGTTCCTGAGGAGGTGCGCGTTCGTGACATTTCATCATTACTACCTGTTGCCAAAGAGTTAAAAGAAGAAGTTTTGGCTTTCGGCTGACAAAAAGGAATAATTTGACATGAAGTTAGATGCTAAAAAATTGTCTTTTTATAGCAAAGCGGTCCATGATGAAAATTGGTCAAGGGAATAGGACAGCCAGAGATATTAGACAAGTGAATACTGCAGCCTAAGGTTAAATTTCTTCAAATTCATCAAGATTAAGGGATTATAATTGTCACCTAGACACTATTTCCCCTAAAATGACTGTTTTTATCAATGCAATGGCTTTGAACAGAGTAGAAGGATGAATTTTTATAAAACCACAGACCACAGCCACCGCTCTTCGGAAACCTGGAGGCTATGATACCTACAATGCTTATCTAATATTTAACATGGATGTGAAGCACTGTGGAGAGTCATTTCTGCCAGGACCTTCCCTTGGCTCAGTGCTGTGTTTTGAAAGCAGAGATCACCTAGTTCAGGTGCCGGCAAACACTAAGCAACCATTGCCCATATTTACTAGTCACATTCATTAAAGCAGGAATATTACATGTACAGCCTTTAAGGATCAAAATGAACTTATTAACCTCAGCTGCACATTTAATTTCCTTATTTTTACTGTTGCATCTGTCTTCTGACAGGCTGTAATGTTCTCTTTTTCCTCTTTACCTGCAGAGGCGGAGTCCTCAGAGTTCAGCTGCAGGATTCAACGAGCCACCATAGCCACTCGTTCATCATTTCATGCATTCTCCATTTGCTAGATAGATGGCTGAAAGCTCAAATTTTCTCATTTCTGTTGTGCTCAAAGACATAAATCACAAGTTCAAAATGTCTTCAAAATCTTACTCTTGACAGGAAAGTAAATGGGCGTCCTCCTTAGTTCTGTATATATTCCTAAAAAATATTCTTCCAGCGCGGGCTGTCAGACAAAATGTCATATCCTGTCACAAGAATAATGCAATGTACAAGAGTAATTGTGCATTTTTGCTCTTTGCTCTACATTATTTTCTTAACAGATGCCTTGTCATCTTATAATTGTAGAGGTGTTATTAGCAGGTACAAATATGCATTTTATGATGAGGTGGGCCTTGAATCTTTGCCAGGTGATTAAATGAATGAAGGGATGAGCAATGATCCTTCCAAGCCTGCCGTCTAGCTAAAACTACTGGTTCAGTACTTTTGTTGTCCTTTTTCCAAATTCTGTCATCAACAAAAAAAAAAAGTATTGTACACTCGTCCTTAAAGTTAGCTAACAAGTTTTAAATGTACAATATTTAATTTCTGCCACTAGGGCCATCTCTCACACCAGAAACAATAACAAAAGAGGAACTTTGTAGTGTGGGATCATGGGGGTTGTTGTCCTCACCATCATTGCTAGAATTGCAGTCAGTGTATCCTGGTTAGGATTCCTTCAGTGTTCATCTTCAGGAGGTTTTTACCAGGAGTCAAATTATCTGCAGAGGTCAAAACACTGAATAAAGTAGTTTCACCTTGAAAATCAATGTTTGTCCGACGCTGTTTGGTGGACAAGGATGCCTTGGAGGGACTGCAAGCAGACCAGAGCTCAACTTGTTACTCTGATTACTTAAGATCCAGATGTTCTGGAGGTTTCTACAAGGAGCTGAATTATCTGCAGAGGTGTCTCTGTTTCGGAAACAAATGTACCCAGTGATTAAAATGGGTAAAAACACGCCTCGTAGGGGCTGTGAGCCGAGCTGCTGCTAACTTTAGCTCAGCTTGTTTCTCTGATAACTTAAGATCCAGACGTCTGATGACTAAAATCCTTCATCCGGTTAAAATATAGAGTTAAAAACCACCAAGATCTAAAAAGTCTATTAAAAAAATTTGGCTTAAAAGTGGATACAAGTCAGTTTATGACAGCTTATGGCAAGAAATGACGCCATTTGACAGATGACCGGTGAAACATACCATTACCTGATTACATTTTTTTTAATATTATTGGAAACATTTTGGATTATGTAAGTACACAACTCAACAAAATATATAACATAGGTCTAGTGTTTATAGACATTTTAATGTGGAAATGTTACATATTATATCTCTAACAAACTAAATACTAAAAGTTACATGAAAACAGTCTTACTGATCATCTGAAGTATGTCTGTTGGGGGATATGAGTTCCTGACTGTAGCTGTCAAAGACTTTAGACTCTTTCACTGTTATAATGGGTTGCATTAGGGGATGAGGGCACAAAGAAAGAGGCAGCTAATTGATTTTCCTTTGTTTCCTGCATGTGAATGAGAGCTGTGCAGCCTTATGGTTTTCTGCAAGAGTAACCTTGTAAAAGGCACAAAAAGGAGATCTGTACTTTCTTGAATTGTCTCGTAATGTCCTCAAAGGGCAATACCACTTGAAAAATTGCCTGTATTTTCAATAGACCTGTACAATGCAGCTGAACACTGAATAGGAACAGTTCTCAATGCAAGATAGAGTAGGCGGTTAGAACGCTATAATGTTTATTGAGTCTGCTGAGGAGAGTTACTGTTGAAGCAGTGAATACATATTTGTTAAGTATCTTCACATTTCCAAGTAATTCCGCTAGTAGTTCCCCTAAATTCACAGATTAAAGGCCAGTCCAGTCGTGGGAAAATTACCCAGCCTGTATAATATCTTCTGTGGCTCTGGAGGAGAGTTGTTAAAGTTTAAAAGATGTACCAGGCAGAGAGGGTATAATAAAAAGATGCTACTGGTTTTGGTGAAAATTGGTTTTCAGTGTTTTGGGGGCTTTACCCACGCTCGCAAATTAAAGTCAGGATGCATATCTGCCTCTGTTACATTGATTTTAATATTCTTCATCTCTTGTGACTCCCCCAAATGTACGTGCAATACTAAATCACTGGAGTACCTTTATTACCTCTAATATGATTACAATTTCAAATGTTACATTAGATGTTATACAGCTAGTAAATACATTTTATACATATTAACATATCTACTGTACTGTAATACATATTTGTTTCTCTACTTTAACATGCAGGATTTGCTTTATATACTGCTATAATAAGTCATACTTTTAGGCAGGGGCAGATCTAGAGAAAGTCACAAGGTGGCAAGAGGGTGGCATGGAGATATTAAGGGGTGACAGAAATGTAATGCTGATTTAATTGTAAACAATCACATATATCAATATTTGCTTGGAAATGAAGGTATTTCAACTCAAAAACATTAGATTATTGCGGCACATTATTAAAAAAATGGAATAGAAATATCTAAAGGTGGCATTGGAAATCAATAAATTGTTTATTTTTCATTGAATTTAAACTATCAAGTAGTCTAAGATGTGGCCATAAAAGATGTTTTTAAATTAATTTAAATGCATGTGTTAAATTGACTTTGGCCAGTCGTGTGACTCCTGTTTTTATAATCTGTGGATGGCAATGGTCAGTCGATCTACAACCTTTTGTCCAGTCTAATATATCTCAACAATTTTTGGATGTATTGAGAATTTTGTACGGACATTCATGGTCCACAGAAGATGCATCATAGTTACTTTCTTTACTGACTTTTAAAGTGGCAGGAAAAGGTTTTCACATATCCAGAGAAATATCGTAACATCTACCAGGTTGATTGGCACAAAATCTGGTAGAGATCTCCGTACTTCCCAGATGACAAAAACTTTGCCAATCCCCTGACTTTTCCTCTAGCACCACAATGAGGTTCACATTTGTGAAATGTGTTGTTGCCATGAAATTTGGTACAGACATTCATGTTCCCCTCAGGAAGAACTGTAATAACTTTACTAATTCCATTACTTTTTATCAAACGCCATCATTAGGTCAAAATTGTAACTATTAATCATCTATATATTTATTCTTCTGATACAGTGTCTGATACTGAGTCATGTGGAAAGCTCAACATAATAAAGAAACGCACATGAATCCATCTTGCTCGTCCATTAGCTATGCTAGGGTAGCAGACATTCATAAACTTGCGTGATGAATCTGGCCTCGCATTAGCAGGAAACACAGCAGTCATGTAGCTTCCTATTGCTTCCCAGTCAAAATACATTACACTGGTATCACTGAGCTGGCAGGAACCGCCCGCTGTCTGCAAGCACCATTAGCATGGACCCTGGAGTGAGCTACAGAAATTATGTCACAGGAAGTCATTGTGAAGCACTTAAGCTAGAAGTATGCACATAAACTTTGCCCCTGTTGCAACCTGACACTACATCTCTTATCATTATTAATTACCACAGAGTGCAGGAAGAATTGACCCTTCAACTTTATAACAGACACATGCAACTAGAAAAAACAAACAAAGAGAACATTTTCATCAATTTGACAACACATATGCAGCAAAAAGAACTGCTGTCCCTTCTTAAAACCTTCTTTTATCTGAGAGCCTTTTCTGATTTTACTTCTTGAGGAAATCTGATTTTACTTTTCTAAAACTTTATTTCCTCAAATGTTTTTCTTGTTTTTATCAGTTTTTCTCGTTTTATCGTCTTTTAAAACCTGATGATTTTCTGTTTTATTTTTATGAAGCACTGCATTTCATTAGTATTATTATGCTGCATGTGTGTTTGTTTTTTGAATTGGCAAAAAGAAATGTGCTTTTGTTTTAGTTATTTGCAGACTTTTTTCCTAAATGCTGTGCAGGTGTTGTCAAATTGGTGATATTTCTTAGGTTTCTTCTTAGGTTTTGTCTATTTGCATGCAATTTAAAATTATTGCAACATACTGTATCTGAACTATTTATTATAACAATACCATAATTAGTTTTAGATAATAAGATTCAATAATTAGATTCATAAGCATGCAAACACAAATACAGAAATAGAAACAAAGAAAGGCACAATAAACTGCCAATTTGGCGTAGGACTAAAATATAATTTGAGACAATGCATTTATAGTCATACATTCAACAAACCAGAATAATGCAAACAAGTGCCTGAGTGTTAAAAAGGAAACAAAACAACAAAGGAGAGATTTTAATTCACATCAAGTCACGCTTCCAGATAGTCAATACAGCAGCCAAACAGGCAATGCGATAGTGTTCAAAGGTACAAAATGTTGTCGAGAAGAAAAGACTGACTTATAGCATAATCTTAGAGCATCCACAGTCGTGTAGTTAGTTTTTTTTTATACAGAAAACAGTATCAAACATTAGGCAAAGTCATCTCATGACAAAACCAAGAACATATGCATGCAGATTTGTTTTTTTTTCCATAATATTGAGCTTGCATACAAAGGCAGACAGATTACAAAATCAAAATCACATGTCGGTTGTATTCATTACATATTCATCAGAGACAGAGAGAGAGAGAGAGAGAGAGAGAGAGAGAGAGAGAGAGAGGGAGGGATCACTGTTGTGTCAAGGAGTATATTGAGATGCCAACAAGGTTTCACAGCCGGTTTGTGCCTCACAAATCATTGCGGCTGAAGAGGCTCTTAACACTTAAAGAAAACGGAAACGCGAGGGCCCATGTGATGCATTAAACATTTCACTCCCCAGCTTGGTTGGTGTGATGCCATTTGTCGAAATCAAATTTTCTTCAAAATTAATGGTGTGTGGCGTGAAAGCAGTGCAAAAGTTCTAAACACTACGTCAACAATAAAACTATGGGTGAAGAAGGTTAAATAATATAACAAATTGACATTAGGGCTGTTTGTCGCTATCCACCAGCTGTAATTAGTGAGTTAGAATAATTAGAATAACGTGGTCAGCCACACTGACAGACTCGACATGCTTCTAAAAACAAACATGCCCGGCCTATCACAGTGACGTGAGGTAATGACAAAAAGCTGTTAGCTGAATTGCAAAGCCTGACAGGAATCCTGAACGTTACGTGAGGACTATTGGTATGGCGTTTCTGTGTTACCAGTCAGTGCACGGTGGAAATTTACAAGAAAGGTGGGTGTGGGGGCATGCAGAAAAGGTCATACAAACTCATAAAATCACAAATACATGGCATGCATCCCAGCCTACTGATCCACAAGGGCAACTCAAGTTCCAGTCCTGGTAAGTTTCCAGGACTGTATATCAAACTTTAACATAAAATATTGAGTGGAGGAAAAAAAAAAAAAAACATAAATAATTCATCAGGCTAGAGGGAGTCAAAGGAAAGTTTTAGTTATATGACTTGAGTGATATAACCCCTGGTAGTTTGCTCCTGGCCTCTGAGTTCAACCATCTCTATTCCCCAGATACGTGTGCCCAAATACAAGGCTTTAATTTGACATATGAACAATATCAACAACACAGAGCACTAAGCTGCACATTCGTAGAGGATTTACTGTGGAATAGAAGGGGTTAAACATGTACATTCTGTTTGATACATTTAAAGTGGAGCTGCTTACATTGAAAAAAAAAAAAATAGAAACCTCAACAGATGCAACAACATATTAACAATATACATACAAGGCTAGTCTAGTAAAACTTCTGCCCTTCTCACCCCGGCTTTTCTTAGCAAAGCTTGCATTGCACGACTGAACGATCGCACTGACTTTAGCATAAGGACGTGTTTGGCTTTTCAGCAGCAAACTTCAGCAAGAATAGGCTGTTGTAAACAATACATGCTTTTGTTATTATTATTTTTTTTTAAACATTTGACGTAAACTTTCCGTTTTTAAAACTCGGCCCTTTGGACAAACAGCAGGTACATTTTCAGCCATGTTACAGTTGAAAATGCCGTCAGTGAGTTTATTTCTTTTTTCAGTAGAAACTCTGTAGTGTAAACAATAAGCTGCGCACACACAACCATAGAGCTGCCCAATCATGCAGTATTGTGGTTGGACAAGTGATTTCCACCAGGCGGGTCACCCACTGAACGTCATTCTGTGGTTGATTACAGCTGGACTCCATCAAGCGGGCTCTCTACGGACGTGCACACAGTGGAGTGAGGCTGTGTGATGTGATCGCAGTGTGCAGTGACTGCGTCCACCTCTGTGCTCAAATTATCCACAGATCATCCAAATCATCCTGCGCATATGAGATCTACTTTTATATCCATAACCCTCTTCAGCTCCTGACTAATCACATACTCAAAGCAGCTATTACGTGATTATGCTCTTACAGTACTCGCCGACTGACTGTCGGTTCCAGTTTGACTCACTCTGCCGACACTCTGCACGGCCGTTTGAAAGAAACTTAATCTTGCCCTTGAAGTGTGAAACCCGGTAGCCTGTTGCACCATTTAGGTGTGTAAGTTCAAACTTAGCCTAGTTATATCGTAAATTATTACTAAATTGTGATTTATGCGTTACTAAAATAAAAGCGGTTGCACCACGGGGAGTTGTAACTTACCTCTGTGGTTAGTTGTTACTTAGAGTTATGTTGTAACTTACAATATAATAACATACATAACAACTATAGTTACACATGCCCCTAGGGTAGTGCAAATCATAAAATGTCACAGAATTATACTCACTGACTGGTTCTTATGCCACACAGCATCATCTTTTCATGAACTGCAGCCATTTCACAACACAGTAATCCAGTACAAACCTAATTTATTGATATGATATTTCAATATTGATCTAGCTTACTGCAATATGCTACAGTGCCTAAGAGGCTCATGCCAAACCAATACGCACAGGAAATCTATCATTTATTGGCCACTTGCCTTATTTACGACTATATGTCCAGACTAGTTATTATTAGGACTAGTTATGTCCCAAGTTATGGTGGTACAACCAATTTTAGTAGCTGATTTAGTTACAAACTAACTTGCCTCTAGTGTCAACTTTACACCCTGACTCTGGAGAAAACTTTGACATAGCTGGTGCAGCCCAGTGCAGTTCTTTAAAGCAGTCGCTCTTAAGAAATCTGTAAATATTACTATTCACCACAGCTGAATGAAAATGTCACTGTGGCCTTGTATCCATGACTCATCTCCAATTTATGAATGCATATTTGAATTAGCTACCCATTGCTTTATCACTGTAAATAAGAAACAAGCCACTTGTAACGAATGGACAAAACACTTGTCGAGCCTTGACATCAGGATTACCACAAAACTAGGCAGCTCTATAGATTCGGGGTTGCACTGAAGAATCAGTGAGTAATCCAAGCCGGTGGTGCTATGACACCTGGCATTGTCTCATATTGATTAGTCTATACAGAGACATGCCGGGAATCAGTGTTTGTAACATCGTGAATGCTTGCTGTAAGCCCTCAGGAGGAGTTCAGGCAAAGTTGATTTTTATTACAAACGTTTGTTTATTGGGCAGAAGTTTGGTAACCTGCCATCCTGCAAGCTTACAGATGAGCATCAGTCATCCTAAAATCCTCTAAGCAGAATTTATGGCTATCAACTGCCTGTGTTGTTGGTGTGGTTGTGGTACTTTGTCCTTTCCAAACAAACCCAGTTCACTAGGAAGAGGACTGAAGGCCTCAGTATGCTTCAAACAAGGTACTTGACATATGATATAACAGCGCCTGAGATCCCTCTTTTCCGATGGTGGAAACAAGGTCAACAATGCCCACTTTAGGCCAAGTTCAAGCAAACAACAGCAAGGAAGGCTACTCCTTTGATACAGTGGAATGCCAACACAGGCTCAACTTTAGCTGCAACGCAACATCCTGTTTATAAAATGATTGCTGCAGAGATTTTTCTTGAGTTGTAAAATCCTTCCTTGTAATATTATAAGCTGCTGTGCTATCTTTTGGTGTTTAAACTCATGGATTTATAACTCAAACGTAACTTTTGGAACTGTATTCATCCTCTCAGCAATTCCTGAAACAACATACACCCACCAAGTTTTTGAAGTCAGAAATCCCAAGGCAGCATTTGAATTTCTCCATTCATCTCACAAGTACCTTCTAACCTTTCGTTTATAATACCACGTAAAACACCACAAATGCCTTCAACCGTTTGAAAGTGTGCATTGTTTGAACGATTAATCACGTCGAGACTACAAAGACAAAAGTGACAGAGTTGTTGGAGATGGATCAGGGAGGCAGTAGGATGCAGCCAGGAGGAGGTTACGACGGCAGGGTTTTAGCATCGGATTCAACTGTGGACATTCAGGTATAAACACAGTTTTCTTCTGTGACATTGCTATGGTTAAGATTTGGTTTGGTTTGGCCACAAAAAGTTAAGGAACGACAGAGGTGGGAAGTAACAAAGTACAAATACTGTACTTAAGTATTTTCTTCAGGTATCTGTACTTTACATAAGTGTTATTTTTTTCTGAGAAGTTTCCACTTTTACCCCCTACATTGTTACACAAATATCTGTACTTTCTACTCTTAACAAAAAACAGGCTTGTTACTTTAGTTTTTAATACAATTGAGAGGGATTGTCGATTATTATCTTTTGCATCATTGCATGGCTTCCCAACATCGAGACCGGTGCATATCATAAATGACAAACATAGCATGATGAAAAAGACAAGAGAGGGAGACTCTATTTGAAGTTTCAACTTAACACGGAAACAGAAAGAAACAGTAAGAGTACTTCTTACTTTTAGACTTTGAGTACATTTCAGAGCCTGTTCACTTTTACTTGATTAAAGAAGTTGAATCGGTTCTTCTACTTTTACCTGAGTATCTGTACTTTTACTTGAGTAAAGAATGTGTGTACTTTTGCCACCTCTGGACAACGATCATGATTTAAAGAAACAACATTGATTGTTGATGGGAAAAGAGACGTGAACAGCGCTTTGTCTCCCATGTCAGGTCCTTTTGCTGACCACCCAGACCTTTTCCCTCATGGTGGTTTTCCATCAAATTAGCTCTGGTTCTTGAATCGGTTCCATGGTGCTATCGAGCGGACCGTCCTGCGTTTCCACCAGTTTTCAGTAAAACCACTTTAATTGCACAACGACATGTACAATATGACACGCCCAATTTGGTTCCCAAGGAAAACCTGCTATTTTTTGGTTCAAACTTTTCAGGTTCCGAACCGATTTATTTTTGGTCGAAATGCTTCGAACGGTCCAAACCTAGGAGCTTGAACCTTGAGCCGGTTCACTGATGGTGGTAAAGATCTATCTGCGGACTTACTATTATCGTCTTTGCTCTCGATGGACAACAGTCACAATTCCTGTAGCTGCTAGAGGTCTTTGAAGATAGCATACTGAAATGACTGATGAAGTTGTTTTTCATGGAGGACAGTCTCTGTCAGGCAGCTCAATCTAGTTTGTTTGAAGCATACTGAGGCCTTAAAGGTCCAGTGTGTAACATTTAGGAGGATCTACAGTTTCTACAATAGCAGGGACAATCCAAACACTGGCTCTAGACAGGGGTGTTTTTGCATTTTTTGCAGGTACCGTAGTTTCTCCTTCGTGCTATCCACTGGACCTTTAACTTGTACTGCATTTTAAGTTGGTTCTGCGTTCCTATGACATTGTTCACACCAGATTTCTACAACAAACTGCTGGCAGTTGGCCCGCTGTGTGGGAGTCACTTAAATAGGGGCTGAAAAACAGGACCTATGCTACCCAACACTTTTACAATCATATTAATGTGCAACATCTTCAGTAAACTCAGAAGAAAAAAAATAAATCGGTGGCTCATTTATTTATACTGCTCCTTTACAAGACTAAATATTAATGTCGAGCAGAATAAAGGTGGTTTACTTGAGAAGATGGGAACTATTCCACTAAACATTTCTGCAAACTCCAACAGTATGAAATTTTGCTACATCCTTTGTTGGATTCTCCAGTCTTTTACCACTAAGATGACAGTAAGAAGGCTTTGTTTGTGCTGTTACAGGGACCGGTGAATCATTGGTAAATTGTTTAGCTGCTGTAAAATATCTCATATCTCATTAAATAGAAAGCATTTGCTCCTTTTTTCTTCACTGATCGTACAAGAAGTCAGAATTATGAAGCTTAAAATTCAACTCTACAATCCCCGTGATTCATTTTGTTCAAAAAACAACCCCTATTGTATATGTGAGAGTGCTGTGGAACACAAACATAAGGTTTTGGATATTTTAAAATGAGCCCTGTTGAGAGGAAATATATTCCCGAAGAGGTGTCACAGGTCACTGTGGCCAACATGAGGAAAATCCAGAGAAGAAGAAGAAGAGGAGGGGGGTAGGAAAATGAAGGCAGGAGTCCTATCTGGTGCAGCCAGGGAGGGGACGGGGGCCAACAGGATGTGGGTCTTCAGTCATTTAATGAACCAGGTAATTCATTGGTCAACGTGTGCCAGCGCTCAATTTTCTTGTCCTTATTTTTGAGGCAGTCAAACCAGTGTTTGAGCCTCTCTCCGTTTGCATTGATACCCAGAGAAACACCACCTGAAAGGACACAAGGAGAGTATGAGTCACATGCTGAACTAAATGCAAAATGTGTAGGAGATGTAGAATGTCTCACATTATAAAAGAGTAAAAGGATAACAGCAGATCATTATGGTGCCTTAGCAACAACACAAAATAGACAAAACAGGTGAACAGGTAGCATTAAAGATGTTGTGATAGAGCACTTTCTAATGAGACAGCCTTTATAAAGTTGAAACTAATGGTTTATTGATGGTAAATCTCTATAAGCAGATATTTGCATATGAATGCAGATACGTTTTTTAAATAATAAAAAGCTAAATCCTCATCAGAGCTGATAGATTCCATGATTGCACTTCGTCCAATGAGTTCCGCCTCTTTTGGTCTCCACACAAATCACTAATGTGCTTGGTCAGGAAACCAGAACGCTTTCAATCATGGGTGCTGGAAGCAGGGGTGCTGAGGGGGCTGCAGCACCCCCTGAAATCTGATATAAAGAAAACTAATAATAATAATAACTATTAAATAGGCTATATGATCCTGTCCATTTGAATTAATGCAAATGAATCAATACCATGAATGTTAGGTATTTAGCATTTAGCATGGCGTCATTATTAATATTAATGATTTTCTCTCAGCACTTGCAACCCTGACTGACTTCCAGCGTCCCTCCCATGCCAATATTGTGATATCAGATATCTGTTTATATTATGTTTTATTAGATTGATCCATGGTTAATAAATCATTTATTAATCTTGACAAAACAATCTCCCTTCAAGGTCCATTTAGTCGCTGCTCTGAAGTTATTAATCATATCACAACAACTAAATAGCTTTTGAGCAGTGGTGGAAAGTAACACAGTACAGATAATAATCTACTTTTTACTCCACTATATTTCTTTCACAGCTGCAGTTACTGTTACTAATTTAGATTTTAAATACCTATAATGAGAATATAAAATACAATGCATATTATATATTAATATGCAGTAGGCAATGCACTAATTATTATCCAGTTGTATAATGTAATGCAGTAGAACTCATTTAGTCTGCAGTTGAAATTAGAAAATTCTGTTAATTATACTACCACTAAACTCAGTTTTGAATGCAGGACTTTTACTTCTTCTAAGGGTATTTTGAGTGGTATTGCTGTTTTTACCAAACTAAAGTATGTGAACACTTCTTTCACCACTGCAGTTGAGGTGATGTTGTTTTGCCAACTTCTGTTTCAATCAGGAAAGAACTTTGAATCTCAATATTTTTAGGTAGATAGAATTTATAGAGGTGAACAGATGTGACTCGCCCCTGATATGTTAGGGAGAAACACAATAAAAATAACCCCTATCTACACAAATGGCTGAACACAAACACAAAGTCAAGCTGAATGTTAAACAAAATGGCAACCCAGTGTGATTTTCAGGGTACACCGCTCTGGGACGAGAGCATGACATTTGTCTTTACTACAATGCTACTCAGTTCTTAAGATTGTGGCCAAACAACCTTTACTCAAGGTCCATTTATTAGCTTTTTCTGGTACTTTCAACAGCTTCTCACTGACTTCCTCAGTAAATGATGCTTGGTCAGTTATCATGGATTTTTGATGACTCCGAGAAGACTCCAATTTCCAAGGTCAAGGAAGAACTGCCAATAAAAAACGTTGTTTTCCCACTTTTTACATTTTTATGATATGTTCCTTTATTCAAGAGGGATAAAAGCTTTTTTATTACTTTGAAAAAATGATTGGGGGGAGTGCTTTGAAACAGGGCATCATGCTCAAACAGACATGAGTACATGATGGCCAGTTAGTTCCCAGTATGGCTCAGTGCTTGTTTGCTTCCCAGCCACCAGCCTTCAGAGAGGTCCGGGCAGATGGCAGACTCAGCTGGACAGAAGGCCAGTGGCGCTGCTGATGCTGATGAATATCATTCTAAGCTATTTAAGCTTGTCCCATGCCGTCATCGTCTCTGATGAGGCAGAGACCTGGCACGGTTCAACTGTGCTTACCAATGAAATCGTTGGACTTTCCGATGTCGTAGTCCCACACGGTCACCTCCAAGGTCTTTTTGGTGAGGTCTGCATATTTTATGTCGTAACAGAACTCCTGCAGAAAAATAGAGCAGCAGGAAATAAAAGCGTCACAGTTAATCTCTCCAGTGTAATCATGTACGATTACAATGACATCTTTTCATATCACAAAGCCCAAAAATGTTGAACGTGTTGAATAAGAGTCAATTTTGCTTCACCACCTTCACAACAAAGCACTCTTCTGCATGGTGCTAGCTCTGCATAATTATCATTACAAACCTGAATGCAATTAACATTTGTTTCATTTTCTGGTGAAATTGATTCCCACAATTCTGGGCGCCTCATTGAGTTTTAATTTTTCGTTAGTGCCCAAAATAATATTCAGGTTAATGTCGGTGCAGTAGTTTTTCCCACTCTCACAGCCTGTCAGTTCAGGACATTTAAAAAGACCAATTCAATATACTACAAGTGTAAGAGGTATCTTGATTGAAGCACAGACGAATTAAATGTACAATGCATACCAGGGTACTTTAACAGAATGACAGCGTAATCAATAAAGTACACTGTCCTCTAAATGAAACAAGCATTTTTCCTGATATCAATTTGCACGGTGTGAAGTGGGAGCATTTATTCTGCATTTCAATCTGTAGTTCAGTCAAGGTTGCTGCTCCACCTTAATGAAATCAATGCCTTGATACAGAGGAAGACCCCATTGCTCGTCTCTGACAGAAAGGCCAAGAGGTGATGGAGGAATATGGACGCAAAAAATGTCAGAGGAAATGTCAAGCTGCTGGCCTGCGTGAGTGTTTGGCCAGGGCCGTCCTCTCTTATACAGGTGGATACTTCTGAGCCAAGCTACCCCGTGCCACGACGCACTGAGGAGCCTGTTCAGCCTTGAAAACATGTTTGGCATCTTTCTGCAAAACATGGCTGGGTCCTCTGGGTCTTTAGCAATGAATTTCAGATTTCCACATTATTTACAATCAGTCATTTTCATTACAAAAGAGGAGTTGGTCTGTGAGACTGAGCTGCTCTGGTTCATTTTAGAGGGGAATAAGGGCTGATAACTAGTCTTCCTCCATGCTGAATTTATCAAAGCACAGCAGCACTGGGAACTCTAAAGTCAAAATATGTAAAGGTTTTAAACCTGCTTTCTGACCTGATGTCTTATCTTATAATGTCGATTTGGTGATAGCAACATCCAGTAGATGCAGAGCAATGTTAGCATCCTTTGGGAGTCGTGTTTCTGGCCACCTGGCTTCACTTTTCTTTTAGCTCTGTTCTGATCTCTGCAAATTCCAGAGAAATATCTTGCTGTTTAACTGCTTAATGTTGCACTATGTTCACCAGCTAATTGTTTACTTCGTCCATCTGTCGAGCAGGTAGTATACAATAGGTTTTTAGAGCCTTTTCTCTGAAAACAGCTGCCTGCTGCGACTGTAAACAGGACTGATGAGATCAGTGAGAACCAGAACAAATTAAGTGCCATTAAAACCAAAACAATGAGCTGAAAGACACTAAAATGCTCCGTAGAGCACAGTTTCCCCAATTGTTAATACACACATTTCATTTGTTGCAGCTTTAAAGCCCTTGTATTATAATTATAAAACAAAATTCTTTATGTTTCATCCCAGGTGACATCACTTTTTCCCAGATGAACCCCGCCTACTTCAAACCAGCGAGAAGAACAAGAAACAAAGAACAAGAATCCATCACGTGTAATGATGAAAGGTGTTTTAACTTTGGCAATACATTAAATTGTGTTCATGGAAGACCCCACTGCTCATGGTGTGAACCTGAAATATTTTTCCAGAGCCTTTAAAGCTGCATAGCAACTGCACAAACTGCAGCTTTAAAGAATGATGGAGATAACAGCCGTGGATGACTAGAGCACTGGGGAAAAGGGAGCCCCTTTTCTGTCATTGAGTAAACTGACAACCCTGATTAAGTGACATATTTTATGGATATTTATGGATATGAATATTGCATTAGCTTTCCTGATATTTTTAGGAACTTGTATACATTTCTCTGTCTGTATGATGTATTTTTTCATATTACATCATACACAATGAATAGTGGACATAGTTTCATTCGGACAATGTTTTAAACGTGTTTTTCAAGGCTGTTTTTTTGGTCCAGAGTTCCAGTGGATGAAAGAAGATATGAGGTTAGATAAAGTATCAGTGCTGCCAAAAGACACCTGAACTATGTCCATGACTTTTGTGACTTATTCTACCTACAGTACATCCAACAGACAGCTTCAGTTCTGCTCATCCTTTAATGAATTTAGAAAAATGTGCTTCTTTTCGACCTGACAGCCGTGCCCTCACAGAATGGCTTTTGTAGGTCCCGGGGTTACAGAGGTTGCTCAGCACACAAAAGCACTGGATAAACACTCAACTCAGGTAAAAGAAAAATAGGAAAAAGACTGAAATGAAATTGGAGCTGTGAGGTTTCAGCGCAATTGCAATGGTTTATACCTCATTGAACTCGGGATTGAGCGTCTTCTTTTTCACAGCAGTCTTGTGCTTTGACTTTTTGTTCTCGTCAGGCTTCAGGTACCTGTAGGACAGCAGGGAGGAAGACTTAATACAGGGCTTAACAGCACTGACAAGGAACAGCAAGCAGAACATACTACAAATGAATTTATTAAAATATACATGATGCTTCTATATTGTATGTAAATCCTCATATACAATGTAAAAGAATGATTCTGTACATTTCTGTCCTCTAGAGGGTGCTGTGGTACTGCCCTATATTCAACCGCACAGCTGCATTACATTACACACATTACATTATCTGACTTTAATAGACTCCACCTGTGCTTTTTATTAAAGACATTTTTTCCAGTTGGTAATACATAGATGCTGTTGTGTCACCATCTCTCAAAGCAGCTCTTCTCTGTTAAGATTAATCTCCGCCACATGGTTAGTTTAATGACAAAATCTCATTTTAGTGTCTTTTTGATGAGATTACAGAGGTGAAGACACCTCACCTCATAACTTAATCACAGCAGTGCAGCTCTCCAGTATGTAGCTTATTTAAACCCTAAATCTTCAATATGAGCTGTTATGAGTTTGTTCTGGAAGGTTTTGTTAATCTTTATAGTTTTCAAAGGTTATTTTTTTGTTCTTTTTAGATTGGCCGTTGAAGCAGTTTGAGTCATACTAAACTCAGTTGGCGATTTATGTGTTACACCTAGCTGAAGTAATGCAATCTATTGCAACAGTCCTGCATTAAATCCTACTTTCACCAAAATAATAATGTTTCATTCTTACAATAACGATACCTGTTTTCGAGTATACACTAATGAAAATAAACACTATATTACATTTTTGCCAATAGATTCTCCTAAATGTTAAACAGTAAACCTTTAAGTGTACTTATGCCAAAACAGTTGTTCTGTTTTAGGTCTTTTGGTTTTTGATAAATAAATCTTGATGGGCTTAGAATTCACTAGTGCCCTTTTGGCAATAGAAAGAGCTCATCAAGGGCTTTCCTTTGATATATATAACTGATTCTAGCCCAAAATACCCCTCTGGTTCTCACCCCTGTATTGCAGGGCAGCAGTATCTCACTGCATTCACTATGTTTAGGTGAAACTAATAAACTAGAAACTAAGTATATATAGTGAAATATGCAATATAAATAAAAGTTGACTCCATTTTGGTTTGTGGAGGTGTTTCTAATACATGTATCATCAGTTTCAGTTTGCATTCACTGCAGTCGATGAGTCAGTGGTAAAAACAGATTGTTAGTGCTACTGTTGCTCTGGGTGCAGGCATTGGTGTTTATAATGTTCAACCTATGTGTGTGTGTGTGTGTGTGTGTGTGTGTGTGTGTGTGTGTGGGGTGTGTGTGTGTGAAGGTTGGACCTTTGCTTCTACCCTATTCTGCCTTCATAAATTATCCAAAGCGCTGGTTACATATATACATATATATATATATATATATATATATATGTATATATGTTACACCTGCGTAGTGTAGTGAATGTTCTGTATTACCTCAGTCCATTTGGAAAAGAACAGTTTTGGGCAATAATGCTCATTCTGATGTTGGTATATTTCAATCCAGTGAGCAATTACAGTAGCTCGTCACATCCCTCTTTACTTTTACGTGCTCACTGGACCCACACAAACTTCAATTTCCCAAGGTAACACAGAGACTTAAAGGGAGGGTAAGTGGGTTATAGCTCACAAACGTACCCCTGGGGGAGTGAGGGCTGAAATTGTTGTTGATGAGGATATTGCAGCAAACCTAATTGTTGTCATGTAATGGGACTGCAACTGACCCCAAGGCAAAACAAGCTAAGAGTGAAAGTTAGGATGCAAACAATGCTATTGAGCAGTACAATGGTTTTAAGTCTTATTTCACTGTGTAAATTGCTGCAATTTTGCAGTACTGCCATTACTCTGCTTTCAGCAGCTGTACAATGAAACTGAATACTCATCGTTAAGAATATATTTTACCTCTAGCTTGATGAAATGCACTTTTCATTGACTGAAGAGCCGTTAAGGAGGGCATTTACTTCGCCATTTCTCATGGCGTACACCACCACCTAGTTCGACTAATGTATTCCTGCTTTCTACATTCATAAGGCACATTCTAAGAACATGCCACAAATTATCGGCACAATGGAGCAAACAATTTACAGTTGAGGTGACAGCTGTGAGTTGATGCATCACATAGACATGTGCTGCTGAAAGAGGAGAGAAATCATGCAGCCCTGTCTCTCTGACAGAGTATACATTTCCTTTATTCCCTCTCACATGAGCTTGTCAGTAAATCTATTATCTGCCTGAGTGTCCTTCAAGCTTCAGGGAGATTTTCTCAACCTCAAACTGTTGGAAAATTGTTGCCAGCCCCTCTCCTCCGAAACGAGTCGCGCTTTTGTTCTCGAGGTGTGCACAGCAGAGTCGAAAATTAATTGCACTTTCATTGCTCAGCCAGATGAAAGACTTGGGAAATGTTCAGGTGTGATAAATAGGACTCTCCTTCAAATTGCAGCCCTGCGGATGGCCTCTTGTGCTGTGTGTCTTTCATGCCGCTGATAATCACAGGTAGTCTGTCTCTTTTCTGCTAAAACATCAGCACTGCCAGCTAATCCATTTCAGCACTTCTACAGAGCGTTGTACACCCACTAAAAATAGCATTACTGTGACGAACATCCGCCGTTTTGGGCAGAAATGTTTGTTGAGAGGAGAGAAGTAATCAATCAACAGGTGGCTGTATGCGAGGCCAGCCCTCGTCTATATGTTATGTATTCTGTAAATTATCAATTCAAGCTGTCTTAAATTTACAAATCCTTGTTTTATAGTATATATTTCATAGATTCTTTGAAGGCTTAAGGATGGTGGTGACACTTTGCTCTACAGCAAGACATCTTGACAACAGACTGAGCCAATTTGCCATGGAATTTGGTCTCAGTATTCATTTTTCGATTTTTAATGATATTGGTGACCCCTTGACTTTTTCCACCAGTGCAAACATGAGGTCAGATTTTGTCCTAGACCAACAGTTTGGTTACAGATAATAAACAACAAATTCAGTTTTATGTTTAGAGCATGGAGCTCTGTAACTGCAAATGAATGCGTACAGTGTATGTCAGTAATTCATACTTCTTTTTTTCTGCTCTTCCATATGGAGAGCCAAAGTGTTCAAAATAAGGTAAATAAACAAAACTTGAAATCAATTATTGTATGAGTAAACCCAGACAAAATAATAAAACCATGAAATTGTGAGGTAAGCCATTATAATTATTATAAAATGTTATTCCCTCCCACTTTCAGTTTTGTAACATTGTCAAATTGCAGGTTATTTCTATTTAATTCCACCTGTTACTATTTCAAAATGGACATTTTGCAAGGATGAAGAAGCAATATGAAATAATATTTCATAATAGTTAATTGGCAACTATTTTACCTAATTTTTCAAGAACAAAGACCTGAAATCCCTTCTGCTTTCTGTTTTATGTCACAGTAAACTTTTAAGTGTACTTGGGATATTACACTGTTAGTCAGACAAAACAAGACATTAGAAGGTTATGGCTGTAAAAATCTTTTTTCACAATTTTCTGACGTTTTAAGGGCAATTACACAATTAAAAATGGACATAATTGCAAGTTGCAGCCTTAATAATTAGCTAAGTTAACTACAATGTCATGGTATTCATAAACCTTTATTTATTTAATTTTGAACACACTGGGTCTCCATACTTTCAGGTTACCTAACATGACATATTCTTTGACAAAAAAGTCTGGTTTCTCACAATTTGGGTCCAATTCTCAAAGCTTTGTCCATCATATTTATTGGTTTTAATAAAATGAAAACACTCACCAAGGTAGATACTGAGATCTAGGAACATGGCGACAACACAACAATAAAGTCTGTCAAGTTAAGAAACACGAACACTTAGACCATCAGACAGGTTGTAAACCAGCTGACAGTTTGTCCAGATTGTCTAAACCTGTTTATTTGGAGGTAAAATTGAAAGTGAGTGCACCAAAGTGTTTGTAATAATCCCACATTGCACAAGAAAAATGTTTGCACTCACAACTACAGTTAGCTTACGGCAGACGATTTGGGTAATACATTTACAGTTCGTCTTGGTCTTATCTTCCAAATACGTTTGGCTACCCTGAGGGTTTGTTTACAACCTGTCAGATTGTGTGTTTCTTTCCCCATGAGACTTCCTTTTATTGATATCACCATGTTCCCACATCTCAGCGCCTAACTTGGTGAGTGCAGTCTTATTATTACGTATAGAAATGATGGTCAAAACTATAAAAAATAAGATGTAATAAACAGGAATGAACTGGAACATTTTGATATAAGGTTATATCAAAATTTGAAAACATACAACATGAAATTGTGGAGCATGGCTGATGCTTCTGCTCTGACTGTATTTGCAAGTGTTTGTGGTAACACTTTATTTATATATATATTCAAGTAATACTTAACCAATGCATGACTCATAATGATTTAATGCGTCAATTAATGTGTGCTTCAAAGCAGCTTAAACATAACTGATCATTCTGCTATAATTTGTCCATTATGTTGTTAATGTGTCAAAAATATATACCTATGAACATTTAGGTTTGACTTGAGTATGAGCATGCATGTGTGGCTTCCAGCCGATAGGAAATGGAATCTGTTCAGACCAGCTCTGCTTAAATTGGCTGCTGGTATATTTAGATTTCTGTTGGTGGGACTCCATCCTGCCCTGACACCAAGTTACTGTAGCTGGCCCGGCTGCTTGCAGAGAGTAGCTGCCCTTTGAACTGGGTTGTGATCTGACAGATTGCAGTGACAGATGGTTTGAATTGGTGTGTGGACTGTGTTTCATAGATGATCTGGCAACTTGGGTGACGTCAGACAAACTCCATGTATGACGATTATTCATAATAAAGTTGGAGGGCCAAATTAATTATATAGAGTTTCTTGGTAGACTTGGCCTTGAAATACGGGAGAAACCAGGGGAAAATGGTAGTGTTGGCAGGTTCGAGAATACCATTGGGTCTATTCTCATAGAACTACAAAGCTTTTTTTTAAATCAGAGAAACTGAGAAAATGCAGGGTCCTGAAACTTAAATGTAACTGGAAACCTGCTAATTTGGTTGCATATCAATTAATGTATGATAACATTCCTTAACTGCTCATCTATTAAGTGTGAATTAATCAGATGTCCTAGTGACTTGATCATTTATCAGTAGTGAGCATCAGGAATTAATGATACATCCTGCATTAAATCATCATGAGTGATGCTCTAGTTAAGTGTTACGTATATGATTTGTACCATTATTATAAAGTGTTTCCGTGTTTGCATACTGACGTTTTGACGTAGGGGTCGGAGAAGCCGTTGGCGTCCATGGCGGCGAGGTGAGCACAGCGTATGATGCCCACTACCAGGCAGGATTTCTGGGTGTTGTACTTCAGAGAAATCATGATGCGTCCCCGCTCCTCCAGGGACTTGTCTTCTGTCTTATTGACCTGCAGAGGTACAAAAGACATGATTTAGAAATAATAATCAGCTTATGTTACAAAGTCTACCACAGTAGTGGTTCCTAAGTTAGGGGTCGACAAAGCTTCTGGGGGGGGGGGGTTGTTAACTGCTTCTGCAGTTATCGTGTTCACTATTTGGGTTAATTGTACAGTTTATCAGTTGTTATGCGTTTAATATAATATGAAATATCCATCAAATATGTCACTTAGTCAGTGGTAGTCTCAATGATAGACAAACTGTTGAATGACCACATGTATTTATGCGACTGAGTGGCTGCCAGCCAGGGATTTTCCTCATCAGTATCATTTGCAACTGATGTTTGTCATTTCTGGCATCATCATCATCATTTGGGATTTAATCAAAGCTTTAATTTCCAAAATGCTATTAATCCACATAGACAACAGAAATTCACAGCTCTCACTCTGTAAACCATGGATTTCATTTCATTTTTATATCCCAGGAGGTTTATTTTTTTGTCCTATAAAAGATTTTGTCAAAGTAAGTCGGCATCATAAAAAGTCTCCACAGCAGACTTGACAGTTGTGTGTCCTGAAAATCAGCCAAACACTGATTGGCTGATTGATGTCATCTCCGTTGTAGATGGTAAGTTAATAGCCTCATCAAAATTAATTTGCCAGGTTCTCTAGAGACAAGATAAACATCTGAACTGACACATGACCTGTGTGCCAAGAGCGTGTCTGTTTTCATTCCAAACACCACACCGGGCCTTCTCACTGATGAGCTCAAATTCAACAAGAGAACCAAACCTTCATGTCCTGCCAAATTAATTCAAACATGTTTTGTCTGTTTGGATGATATATCACGATGTGACCAATGCTCAATTCAGTCCCATTTTTGTGCAACTCTCAGCTTCCCTGATGAGCTATTTGATACATTTACAGAGGGCAATATGAAAAACAATAAAAATAAAATGAAAAATAATAGTAAAGTTAAACTTTTTGCCATTTACAATAACACAGAGAAACTAAATACCACAAAGACCACTGCCTGGTCACTGAAACGGGTTCACAAGATCGCTGTAATCCAATTAGCAAGAAGTTAGTAGTTAGTTAGTAAGTCTGAAGTTATTTTAACTAAACAAACTGATTACATAAAAAATTGTAAGTAAAATCAGTTCAAAATGATTCTTGATTAACAGCTTTTACTAATAATTCTAGGTGACACCAACTCAATTTTTAGTTAGGGTTAGTTACAGACACATTCCTTGTACTTTTTACTATGTATTTTATTTTTTACAGTACAAAAGGAAGTGAATGCTACTTAAAATTATTAAAGCTAGTTGATCAAGGATATTTTTTTAACTTACAAAATTGAGTTAGAGTTTTACTTAAAATCTTCAATATAATCAACATTGTTTTTGTTTAGTTAGAGCTAAATTAACTTATCTGGTTTTACAGTGATGCAGGGATACCAGGCTACCAAGAAAAGGCCGGCTGTGTTCTCACTATGAGCTCCACAATAGAAAGAGAATTCCTTCACAAAGTCAGGATCATATGTCCAGAAATCCCACAAATGAGAGTAAACTTTCCAACATTTTGGGAGAAAGCAGGAAAATAACTCTCTTGGCTGCACAGTTTGCCCCAAAGTAAGAGAGACCACCAGTCTCCTTTGTTTTATGTTAATTTATCATTTTGTGCGGTTGTATATATGTATTCTTTGAAAAACTTTATCCATTATCATGGATCATGCGTAAAAAATGAATACAGATGTATGATTCATGCATGAAGGTGATTCATGACTAATTCAGTTTAATAAAGGTACCAGCTTTACTTTATGCTATTCTTGTCCCTACCATCAGTGGAGTCAAGTGTGGAATATCATAAACTTCACTCACTTTAACTAGGAAGAGAAAAAATGTCTTAGTCCCACTCAGTCTTTGCACCGAATCACCATTAATAATCTCTCTGTTTTGTTGTCAGCATACTATGAGTCACACAAGACACTCACATGCTTTACTTTATTACCTACTAGGTTTTGACGCTTAGAGTATAGGGGTGGCCATGACTGAACACGAAAATCATTTGAGGATTGTTGTAATTTAAATGATATCCCCCCTTTATTTATATTATCCCCTTTAAATGCTAAATAGACTGTATTTATATAGCACCTTTCCAGTCTTCGGACCACTAGTGGTGCATCAGAAAGAGTAACTAATGCTCATTCACACACCCATGGCAAGCAATATTTGTTTTCCTAGGATGGCGAAGGAGTGACCCGCCCTACTCTGCCTCTGATTTGCTGACCCAGATATTCTTAACCTAACCCTAACGAATCCCACTCCTCATGCCTAAAGCTAACCAACCAAGTAAGGCAACGAGTACTAGCCAGTCAGAGACAGAGTAGAGCAGATCATTCCTTCACCATAGGAAAGGAAAACTGGCCCGATGGCACAGCCTTTGGAAGAAATTCTGGGTTTAGTATCTTGTCCATAGTCATTTCGACAGGAGGGATTGAACCAATTTTCCGATTAACGGACACCAGGGTTGCCCTTCAAGTTTCTACGCATTATCTTTTATCCTTGTAGTGAATTGCATGAAACTGCATGCTTTTTCAAAAATGTAGCCTACTGTATTTTATGACTGGTTGGGTGGTGGAACTATTGAACAGCTGCTCATTAATCAGAAAATTCACTCACACTTTGCAGTTCTACCTTCAGCCTTCACACCCAAGCCCATTATTCCTGCCCGAAACCAACCATCTGATCCACCATCAATCAGCCGAGTCGGGTCTTGCTTAATGGTTAGTGGTTATGTTAGTGGTATAGTGGCAGTTACCAGATATCATACTCTTTTCATATCAGTGTGATTGTCTTTTTTGCATTCTTTCAGTGCTCCACAGAGCACTTCAAGCTCTCCAGAGAGAAAAATACATACTTGAGCCTATGACTTTTTACAGAAATGCAGCCCAGGCCCCTAAAGAGCTATTTGAGCTTTGTTTTTTTCACCGCTATGCCCAATGACTTAGAAATGCAATTTACCAGCAACACTCCCGCAGTTGCTGATTGCGTGAATATGCACTAGGTTTTCCTGTACATCAGCATTTATTTTTAACCACATATACAGTATAAGACCATCCATATCTGCAGAGCAAATGCACAGAGGCTTAACAACTTCAAGCTTATCAAGAGCTACTTCAAAGTGCACGGACCAGTGGCAATGTGGGCATTGGGACTGTGAGTTATTTCAATTTGGTTTGTGCCATTTCAAATTGATATTCATTAGTTTTTTCTGTCTCATTCAGCCTTTCATTATGACGAAGTGCCAATTCAAGCTTGAGCAAACCTAAAAAGTTTAACTTTAACTTTTTTTTTTTTTTTTTTACCATATACATAAGAAGTTCCTCTAACAGCCAGATATTTAGCTCAGGAGTTAGTAGAGACCAATAAAGGAGATAAAAGAGAGAGACTATTGCACTCACATTTGCAAGGTGGACAGAAACATGTTTCCAAATGAACAATAATGTTGCCCCATAACATATCAGCTTAAAGGACCAGTGTGCAGGATTAAATGGCATCTAGTGGCGAAATTGCAAATTGCAGCCATTTGAATACAGCTCTGCCTTCCAAGCATGTAGAAGAAACTACGGTGGCGGCTTCACACTAGCAGTTTTTTTCTGCAGGCTATTAATCCATAAAAAGTTATAGGCTAGATGAAAAGCACACCTGGCTCAAACATTTCATCCTCCACATATCCAGCCACAAGCTTCAGCAGTTCTTTGTCACTTGTAGCCTGCAGCTGTCTATGATTAAAATCCTTTTTTTTTTTTGTTAAACTCAAAGTAATGGGAATATTTCCAACTGCTGAATGTAAGCATTTCCATCTTCCAAGTTAGCTTACTGCTTGGTGACATGTACAATTAACAAAAATGAATCCAGGGATGTGACTGGACTGTTGGATTTCAGATCAGTGCGGGTGACAATCACTGAAATATTATTACTGGTAATAAGTTACTGCCCGAAACTTTTTACAGCCTTCTAACAGCTTGTGAAAAAACCTTTTACTAGTTGTAGAATAATTATGCCAAGGCATTCTGCTGTTTATAGCTTGTTAACACAACATGAACAAACTACATAAATGAACAGCTATGATTTGGCCCTCAGTATGCTGCTGCTTCAAGTAATGACGATCGATAATCATCACAAGCTCCGAGCAGTGGTCTTAGTTACAACTGTTGCAGGCTCACATATTCACAGCTTAACACTGACGCCCCAGAACATCCCCAATACTCAGAAGCAGTATAAGAATAATAAAATGAAGAAGAAAAACAGGCTGTGTGTGTAGGAGACAGTGCTCAACAATCTGTCCAACAGTGTCCACAGCAGGATACTAATCAGATATCTCCAGGGAACTGACTCTCTCTACATGAATCACAGATGACTTTTACAAGACGTCTCGCTGGACTTGTGGACTCGGCATCCATTTCATCTGGCATGCCAACATGCTTCTGCCGCCGCCGCGGTTTACTGTCAAATCCATTTAGTCCTCTCTCCTTCTTCTACTGTTTATCCACGTATAGGACATCCTACTGTTGTCTCTGCCTCTCCGTCTCCTTTAACAAGATGTACTTTGGGAAGTCTGTGACAAAGCAAGAGGCTGACAGGAATACAAGAGTATCAAGACAGAAAGCGAGGGAGGAAGTGCAAACCTCAGGCGGCTTGAATAGTGTCAAGGTCGGCATACCTGACAAGTGCAGACATCTTTACAGCACTCAGTGTCTTCTTTTCTATTTCACACTCACAGACCATGCATTTTAGCTCGGCTAGCCTTCCTTCTCGAACAAATGATTTTTAAGGTGGCATATAAACAACATATACCAACAAATCACTGTTGACTCATTTAAAACAGACGGACTTAATTGATTAGCATTTAACATCATCAATCACAAAATGTCTGCGACTACATGGCCCGGTCTGCTTCTGTGAGCCTCCTTTTCCTCTTTACATCAATCTGCTCAAACATAAAATCTA